GAGGGTCGGAATAATTTATATAACCATCAACATTTCGTTAAGTAGCATTTCTGATTATTTTTGATTATTCACAAATGATTGTATCAGACACTTTCATCTCTCCAAGCTTTTGTTTCAGCTCTGCCCTGTGTCTAAAAGCCCACTTTTCCTATATCTACTATTTTTTTTAAATAAAATGTTTCCTATTGTGGTTAAAAAAAAAATTAGTCTGAAGCAAGAGCCACAAAATTCTAAATATTAACAGAAATTTGTTAAGATTGGATCAAATAAGGGGCCTCACTGGTGGTGCAGGGATTAAGTCACAGCACTATCAAGCTATCACCAGCCATATGGCATGAATGTGATCCCAGGCCAGGAAGCTGACTCACATGGTGCAGCAGATCTCTTCTGTCTTACCCACTGCTCCCCTCAGGAGTATATTTCAGCCAATCTGCCTGTTCTCCCCACTTTCCCTCTGGTAAATCCTCTCTCCCCTCAACCCCCACACCTCTGGCCTATATTCCAGTTCTTGTAAGTATAATTAAAATATTAAAAAAAAAAAAAGACTGGATCCAATAAGATGTTCAAAAGAAATATTACAATTTTTCAATTTAGAAAATTCAAATATTAAGTTGGTCAAAAGGAATAATAACTGCCATGCTACTTGTAACTAAATAAAACCTTTCTCTTCTTAAATATCTTTTCTTTTGTGCCATTTATGAAATGTGGACATTGACTGAGCACTAAAAAACTAAACACAGGGCACAACAAGTTGAAACAAGCACTAAGCATCTACACAGCCACTTCAGCACAAGTTCAATCCCCAGCTAGAGAGGTGACACACATGGCACACCAGACCTCTCCTGTATCACCCACTGCTCCCCTCAGCAGTGTACTTCATCAATCTGCCTGTTCTGCTCCCTACTCTATCTCTGGTGAATCCTCTCACCATCCCCTGCACCTCTGGCCTGTACTCCAGTTCTGGATGCATAAATAATTCTTTAAAAAAAAAAAACTAAACCAAGCACATGAAAACATAGTTCCTCTAGTCTCCCCAATATCCTGTCCTCCCTTGAATGTAACTGATTGGTGGCATACATTGGAGTAAAATGTGTGAAAAGGGCCTTAGCGATAGCTTGCAACTAGACAAATGTCTGCTGTAAAGAGCACACAAGTAGTAAAAAACATACAACAACAACAACAACAGGTCACTGCTTCACCCAATGATTAAACACCTTCACTCACAGCAGTCTCTTAGGTCACCTGAGGCACTGGGCAACTCAGAACAATTTGTACATTCCAGACACTTACTTAAGCTTTTAAACAAGGAGAATGCCAAAGAATTCTTGATTATCCCTTTGTGATAGTGCCATAAAGTGCAAATTATATTAAGAGGATATACTAAAATCTGTATCTTTATTTTTAAAATTTAATTGTTAAAAATAATTCCTAAGACAGACATTTTTCTATTTCACAATTTCAGACAAGTAACCTGCCAAGAAAACATATTAACTAAGTAAGGAAACAGTAATATCCAGAATGATTCTGAAATGAATTTTCTTTCTTCCATCAAAAGGACTAAACCAGATATCAAAACACAGGGCTCTGAGTTGAAATCTAAGATCACCCCTTCCTGGCTGTTTGCCCACTCCCATTTTCTTAATCTGTAAATCCCAAAGGATCAAACTGAAACGAAGAACAGAAAAAGCTCTTGCACACCAAAAAAAATTTATTAACAGTTATTACTTTTACTATTTAAAGTAGGTTTAATTCTAATAAAGAAAACAAACTTGGGGGGGGGGGGAGTCCCCATAAACTAAAACTAGAAAGTTGAGATAGTCACAGAAGAATGGTCAGAAAAAGACCTGCCTTTACCTTGATATTGTTAGTTCTACTTTTTCCTGTACAGTTAGAAAAGCCTGGAGTGTTATGCTGTAGATAAAAGTGTTTCAGTCATCACTACACCAGTTACCATAAGAAAACCAAAAACCATGAAGGAAATGAAGTTCACTGTTTTTTTAATCCAGAATTATATTAACTAACAAAAGCAACTGTTTAAATACTCTACTATCAACTTTGAGATTCTCTGATCACCAAAACCCTATCAACTCGGAAACTACCATAACAAAGCTTTATCATGGAATACTCATCTATTTAAGGAAACATTTTTAAAGGACACAAAAAAAGTTCACAAAACACTGTTAAAAAAAAAAAAACACAAGATATAATGCTGTTAAAACATGGAATTTGAATCCATCCAATCATGACAATCTCATAATGTCCTGGCATTCAGGACACATTAGAAGGGTACTCTAGAACCTATAACCTATCTAGGTACTAGCCTATACCCTAAAGACATAATTTTTGTTTAAAAATGGAAAAACAAGGATGGGGAAGTGACTCTTGCTTGAGCTTGAGTTGAGATTCAGAGGAACCTGGTAAGATTACACAAAAGAGGGCATCAAAATTTGGGGCTTGGGGCAGCAACATGGAAGGACATCACACTGCCCTGGACATCAGACTGGCCCTGGGTCTCCCTAGCCAAGGATCTACGAAAGTAGACCACACAGGAAAGGCTGAAGTTGTTCCCATGAAAAAGTCCGAGACACAAGGCCATACTTGTGAAACAAAGAAATAAAGGCCATCATTTCCACTTTAGAGTAAAACACAACTTGGTATGAAAAATGGTAAGAATGAAAAAGAATGCCAGCCCTACTCTGCAAGCTCCAGACTTTGCAACTCTGACATCAGAGGATGTACAGCATGGAGGAAGGAAAGTTAGGGGGGAGGGCGGGAAGGAGTGATAGGGGTAAGGAATAAGATATCACCTCCCAATGCCATTCTGACCAGAGGAAAAAACCCAGTAGGAAGAGAGGTGAGGAATGTGAGAAGGCTGACTTTCTGAAAAATGCTTTAGAGCCCCTAGGAAATAACCATAAAATATTAAGGAGAATGGAGGTCTTGCTTCAACAAGAGGAGCCCAAAATAACAAAAGTAAAGAAAACTGGAAGGTATTAAAAACTAGAAGAATCTTAATAGGTTTATCTCGGGGTAGAATTTCAGGTGACGATTAAAACTGTTAAATTTTCTTTATTTCCCAAAAAGTATCTACCGTGAATAGTACTACTTATAACAGGGAAGAAAGGCAGATTTTTAAAGTCTGCCATGAATTGTAATTCCGTAAAATGAAAATACTATTTCTACAATTAGATTTCAAGTCTACACCAAAATCTATTTCAGACCTCTTACCAGACAACTGTATTTTGTTATAATTATACATGCAAAGTAACAGCCACTCTTCTTAGAATAAGGATTATATTTTACTATGGTTATATATTTTAACCAGATCAAAAGAAATTAGCCCCCCAAATTTATCCTACCTTATTTACTGTGCCACTTTGATTCACCTATTTTAACATGCTATCTACAGTAGAAGTTCATATTTATTGGCTGACTTGAGTCTTAAAAATTTAGGACTAGGCCCTCCCTGGTGGCGCAGCGGGTTAAAGCACAGCACTGAGAAGCTAAAGCCACTTCCGTATGAGTTCGATTCCCGCCTGCCCCGGAGGAGACCACATGGCGTGGCAGACCTCTCCTGACTAGCCCACTGCTCCCCTCAGCAGTGTACTTCGTAGATCTGCCTGTTCTGTTCCCCACTGTCTCTCGTGAAGCCTCTCGCCACCCCTGAGCCTCTGGCCTGTACCCCAGTTCTGTATGAACAAATAAATAAATCTTAAAAAAAAAAAAAATTTAGGACTAGGGGTCCTCCCTGATGGCACAACTGGTAAAAGCACAGCACTATGATGCTAACCACAGCTTCTGCAGCAAAAATTCGATCCCGGGCCAGAGGAGTGACCCATATGGTGCAGCAACCTCTCCTGTCTCACCTGCTGCTCCTCTCAGCAGCATATTTCAGTACACCCATCTATTCTGCCCCCAACTCTGTTGCTGGTGAATCTTCTGACCCCCTCCCCACCTCCACACACACCCCTCTGGCCTACACCCTAGTTTTTGCATGCATAAATAAAATAAATCCTAAAAATAGGAAAAAAAGCTCATAGATATCTTTGTAGACACCTTAAGGCCCATTCATACTAAGATTATACATAAAGGAAAAACAATCTGAGGCACAGTACCAGCTATTAATTCTGGATGATACTTATTTAAAAGACAAGTACTCAAGAACCAATTACAGTCTCCACTTCTTAGTAGTGTTCCTCAGTATTTTATAGGCAAAAGAACTTGTTTTAGTTTAGTGAAACATTTAAAAAGCAGGGAGGGTCTCTCTGGTGGTGCAACACATTAAAGCACATCATTATGAAACTATCCACAGCCACTACTGCAGGAGTTCCATTCCCGACCAGGGCAGGGACCCACATGGCCCAGCAGACCTCCCCTATCTCTTCCGCTGCTCCCCTCAGCAGTGTATTTCAGCAGATCTGCATGTTCTGCTCCAACTGTCTCTGGTGAATCCTCTCACCATCCTTCCCCCCACACCTCTGGTCTACACCCCAGCTCTTATATGCATATATAAATAAAAATAAAAAGTAGAGAGACATTCTTACCTGGAGATCTGATGTCCAGCATAGAGGAGCAAGGCAGTCAAGAAATAGAGGTAAAGCTGAACCAGATGCTGCCTTGGCAGAGTTAGCAGAACAACACTTAAGATATAACCTGCAGTAGAAATTAAGAGCGATATAACGAAGTAGTATTCTAAACTTATTTTCCTAATTAATTACACTAATAAAAATAGTTCAAAGCAAATTACTGTCAATTAGATTTCATCAACTCTGAGGTTTTTTTCATTTCACCAGTTTAACAGCAAAATCACTATGGATTTTTTTGTTGATATTGAAGATACAAAAGCATTTTCCACTTATTTCATAGATTGTTCCTGATCTCTGTTTTCAAAGAATAGGCAGTGTTCTTCACCCAGCCTTGAGAAACTTTTCTGATTTTTCCTTTTTTCTATCATTGTTTTTTTCATTCCATTTTTATAAATTATCAAACTGACAACTGTACTTTCTAACCATCTGTTTCTCCCCTCTTTCTTCTCTATAACCTACAAACCTGATGTACCTTTCCACTTGAAGAGCAGTCAGCAATTTCTATGGGATATATTGCTATTCCTCCTCCCAATATCCAAGGTAACTACACAAAAAGTTTTTTTGTATACTCTCAATTTCCCCTTCTCTTTTCTTTTTACCTTTTCAAACAAACAGGAAATTCAGTCTCTATAAAACTGCTTTTCTGTCCCTAGTTGCTGCACCACAAGTTCTTTGTCCAGCCAGGGTGCTGACCCACATGGCACAGTAGACCTCTCCTGACCCGCCCGCTGCTCCCCTCAGCAGTGTATTTTAGTAAATCTGCCTGTTCTGCTCCCCACTTTGCCTCTGGTGAATCTTCTTACCGCTACCCTACCCCCGCCATCCCTTCCATTTCTGGCCTATACCCCAGCTCTTGTAGGCATAAATAATTAAATCTTTTTAAAAAAAAGATCAATCCAGCAGGAGCCAGTGACAAATACAGTTTTTAATATCTTCAAATAATTTCCCCATTTTACTTTGTTAAACCCTATCTCAAACAACTGTGGTATTTTAAAGAACTGTTACTTTTAGGAAGCATATTTAGAGTTTACAGATTTCCTAATCAGTCTATTGCATAAAACCACTCCTTAAATACTATCTTTTTTACTTTTTTTTTTAAGATTTATTTATTTATTCATATAGAACTGGGGTACAGGCCAGAAATGGCGGAGGGTGAGAGGATTCACCAGAGACAGAGTGGGGAGCAGAACAGGCAGATCAACAAAGCACACTGCTGAGGGGAGCAGCGGGTGGGTCAGGAGAGATCTGCCTCGCCATGTGGATCTCCTCCGGGGCATGCGGGAATAGAACTCATGGGGAAGTGGCTTTAACTTCTCAGTGCTGTGCTTTAACCCGCTGCGCCACCAGGGAGGGCCCCTTTTTTACTTTTTTAAAGATTGTTTTATTTTGCATATAGGAGTTGGGGTACAGGCCAGAGGTGAGGGGTGGTGAGAGGATTCACAAGAGACAGTAGGAGCAGAACAGGCAGATCAATTGAAATACCCTGCTGAGAGGAACAGCAGGTGAGACAGGAGAGGTGAAGTATGCTGAGCAGTGTGGGTTAGCTCCCTAGCAAGGGACTGAACTTGTGCTGCAGTGGCTATGGATAGGTTCATAGTACTGAGACTTAACCCTTTGTGCCACCAGGGAGGCCCTTTTAATACTGTCTTTTAATGAACTAACATTTTCCGTTCTAGTCTCACCTCTACCTTCTCCTGTACATCTCATAAAATCAATTACAAACCCTCTAGATTGAAGATACTCATTTCATTCATTCTTTCAATTATGTAGGCCCGCAACCAACATTACTATTTCTAAGTATAACCCATATGCATTCCTAGATATGGAAGATTAGAAAAGAAAAAAGAAATCCCTTTCTACTGGGGAGAAAGTACGGTTTGGCATTGCTGCTGTAATAAACATTAGAAGAGGGCATCCCTAGTGGCGTCAAGAGGTTAGGTTTCTCCTCTATGAAGCAATCAGCAGCCACTGCAGCATAGCAGCCAAGGCGCTAACTCACATGGCCAAGCAGATCTCTCCTGTCTTGCCAGCTGCTCCCCTCAGCAGTTTATTTCAGTAGCTCTGTCTGTTCTGTTCCCCACTCTATCTCTGGAGAACCCTCTCACCTCCTGTACCTCTGGCCTGCATCCCAGTTTTTCTAAGCAAAAATACAAAATAAAAATTTAAAAACACAAAAAAGTAAGATTTTGAAAATTGGTAACAGAAGGTGAAAAGTATCTTTCTCCTATCTGTGTTCCTCATATTGCTGAGTCCTCACTCTGAGACCCAATAAGTAGCAATTTTTATTTGTGTATAATGCTAGAGGTATGTTTCCATATATGTAAACAAATATAGATTAATACACAAATGTAAATATGCCGTTTCCCATTTTTTGTTCAGACAGTAGCATAATTTACACTGCTTTAACCCTTATTTTTTGAACTCCTAGGCCACCAGGGAGGCCCCAAACCATTAATTTCAAAAATCTATTTCAAAGTGACAATCAACTGGAACTTTATATAAACAGTACATAATATGTTGACATAGAAGTTACTCCAACCAAGAAACTGTTCAAGTTGACACTATCTGCTCATGTCATTGCTGAGCTTACTCTACCACAGCATAAAGTGTACTTACGAAGGTGTCACTGAGTTTCCAAAGTTATAAGCCAGAGTAATATTTCAACTGCACAAGAACCCATTCAATTTCTAAAATTAGCCTTTCCTAGATAGCTGTTTTTATAATAAATATTTCACTCTACTCAGAAATAATACATGACAAGCACATTTTTAAAACCACAGTGTAAATTACTTTGCTAATTAAGCTACATACCTAAGCCAGGTCCCCAATTGTTCTTCTATAATAGGCTGAAATTATTTCCATAAATTGGCTAACTTAACGAAGTCTTCAGTGGAAGGACTGAGAATTATAGTGTTTTACAGCATAAAAGAATCTTTCATTCCAAACTTTTCCAAGTAGTGCTATCTGAGAGAGATGGGGTTATTGTACCCAAATATTAGGCTTCTAACATACCATCTTTTTCCATCACATGGTACTTATTCCCACAATTGTTTACTTGCTACTCTCTTATAGCTGTAAGGGGTTCTCAGAGCTAAATTATGGAACAGAGAGTTATTCTATATTAAAAAAAAATTCACAGGAAACAAAACAATCCTTCACAATTTTATAAAACATACAACTGGGGACCCTCCCTGGTGGCGCAACAGGTTAAAACACAGCACACTATGAAGCTATCCACAGCCACTGCAACACATGCCATATGGCACAGCAGACCTCTCCTGACCCACCTGCTGCTCCCCTCAGCAGTGTATTTCAGTAGATATGCCTGTTCTGCTCCCTACTCTGTCTCTGGGGAGCCCTCTCACTGCCCCTGCATCTCTAGCCTGTACCCAAGTTCTTCTGTGCATAAATTAAAAAATATTAAAAAAAGATATACTCAGAATGAGCAATTCCAATAAAAATAGTGATGCCACTATTGTACATCATTCTAACTAAGCAATAACAAAAATTAAAATATGGCACTGCAATCATTACACACACACCAAAAGTTAACCAGAAAATAAAAGGGACATTAAGTTTTATTCAATATAAACTTCATCTCTAGTTTATGTGTATTTCTTGACTTTAATTTCTTTAACTTCTCAACACAAGTCCTAGCAACACTAAGGAATATTTTTAAAGAAAATATTGTCAGAAAAGTCACAATGTATTTGAAAATAAATGTATTTGACAATCTAATATAATATCATTTAACTGAAATTCTTTCTTTTCAATGGATAGCAACATTTTAGAATAATTAAGATTACTTCATATTAAAAAGCTTAATCTCCAAATTATTCCAAAATACAAATTAGAATGAGCCAGCCAAGGTAAACTGACCTCATTTAAGTCAAACTCAAAAATTCACAAAAAAGGGTCTTCCCTTTATGTCTCAGAGCCATCACCCTATGGCCTGAGTTCCATCCCAGGCCAGGGGCAGCAGAACTCTCCCATCTTGCGAACTGCTCCCCTTAGCAGTTTAATTCAGTAAATCCGCCTATTCTGCTCCCACAGTCTTTGATGAACCCTCTCACCCGCCCAAGCCCCGTAGCCCCGTCTCTGGCCTATACCCAATTCTTCTAAACAAACAAACAAAAAATACACAAAAGATAAAATACATCAGAGAAGGATCACTGAAAGATTAGAAAAGGTGATGTAGACACTTACCTACATAATGCATATTAAGAGCCAAATATTTATACTGAAAAAGAGGGTTATTACTGAGGCTACTTCTTTGGATCTGCTGAAAGAAGGAGCTGACATCCCATCTGTACAGCACATCCAACAGCATGATGCTGGGCACTCTCAAGGCCACATTTAACACTGCCTCCAGCTTCTCCTTTGCAGCCATTTTTTTTCTTGGAGCAAACCTAAAATTCAAGAAAGACCGTACATAAGCCAAATCAAGTCAAGTCTCTTTTAAAGATCTTAAGAATCTAATGGATTGCTTCTAAAACTCTGTAAAATGACCTATGTAGTATCTTCACATTGGTATTTTCAGGCCCCCAAACAAGATTCTGTTTAAACATTCAGTCTCACAAGTGATTTCTTAAAGGTCTACTCACTCACTCTAAATCTAATCTAGGCACTAAGCAACAGAACACCCTATAAAAATATTTTTTTTTTGTCCAATTAACTCAGCAAAGTCACTCATATGAAACTATGAGATTTATGCAGTGCTTTAAAAAAGTGGGCATGTACTTGGTGATGGGAAATCTGCGGGGATTATAATTGAGATGAAAACAAAAAAAAAAGTGGGCATATTTTAAACAACAACAAAAACCCCCGCTCATTGGGGCTTCCATGCTGGCACAAGGGGTTAAGTCTCAGTACTGCGAAGCCATCCACACCCACTGCAACAAGAGTTCTATCCCCAGTCAAAGAGCTACCCACATTGCACAGGAGACCTCTCCTGTCCTGTCCACTGTTCCCCTCAGCAATGTATTTCAATCTGCCTGTTCTGTTCCCATGTTCTGCTGAATCCTCTTACCCCCTTGCACCTGGGCCTGTACCCAGTTCTTATATGCATAAGTAAACCTTTTTTAAAAAAAAACCTAGACAGTAAAAATCTGAAACTGCATAATGCATATTGCAGCCTGCATCATATCATAATCTGTCCTTTTCCTTATTACTTACAATCAAAATGGAATATATATGATATTGGTACAATCCAGAGAATTCAAGATATAAAGGTAACATTATTTGCATGATTGCTTTCTAGACTCCTGAAACCCTAATCTGAAATTCCCATAATCTGCCTTTAACGTATGAAAGTAATCCCCATCAAATCCTTCCCATGACACAGAGACATGCTGGCACATGAAAGAAGCATCAGGTACTGGCTATATCTCAGCTTGACTAGCAACTGAGTAGTAAAACTAAAAAAGAAAGGAAAAAAAAATCTCCAGAACAATCCACTATTAAAATGAAAACAAAGTACTAAGTGCAATATCCTTTTATGATAGAGCTACAAATTAATCCAAGGAATTATAGGAAAGTGCATAGGGCAAACAAAAAGTGGGTAGAGAACAATTTAAGAATAAAGATAATTGTGGAGTGCTGGCTCTGACAACATCCTTTTAAGCATTTTGCTGAGAAAGCTAAACACATTTCTAGCTTTGGCAGTAATTTCAGACATTACAGGACAAATGAAAACATTTATTTCTGAAGAAAATTACAGTGACAGATCGCTATGGTATAGTTAAATATTTGTCAGTATTTCCATTTTACCCTCTAATTTGAAAATTAGAGCTTCCTGAGATTTGAAAAAATGGCAGCTTCTCAATCACTGAGAAACTGATTTTATTCAACACTGATTTTGATCATATATCATTGATACTAAGTGCTGCCACATATCCCCTATCAATAATGCAGAATTAACATTTTTACAAATAGAGACCGTTAATTCTGATTACTTTAAATTAATTAGAATAATAACTTCCCTAAAGAAAAAATATCTTAAGACTCAAAGCAAAAAAGTTGTGTCCTAAGGCGGGGGAGAGGAGAAGATAGTGAAAAAATAAATCACTAATCAACATTTATTACAAATTAAACCATTCAGAGGGGCCTCCCTAGTGGTGCAAGGGGTTAAAGTGCAGCACTGTGAAACTATCCACAGCCACTGAAGCACAAATTGGATCCCCAGCCAGAGGTGACCCACTCACATGGCCCAGCAGGCCTCTCCTGCCTTGCCCACTATTCTCCTCAGTAGTGCTTCAGTTGCTCTCCCTATTCTGCTCCCCACTGCCTCTGGTGAATCCTCACCTCCCACACCTCTGATATGTACCCCAAGTTCTTGCATGCATAAATCAATCAATCTTTTAAAAAAAATTATACCTGGCCCTCCCTGGTGGCGCAGCGGGTTAAAGCACAGCACTGAGAATCTAAAGCCGCTTCCGCATGAGTTGTATCCCGCCTGGCCCGGAGGTGACCACATGGCGTGGCAGACCTCTCCTGACCCGCCCGCTGCTCCCCTCAGCAGTGTACTTCGTTGATCTGCCTGTTCTGTTTCCCACTCTGTCTCTGGTGAAGCCTCTCACCGGCCCTGAGCCTCTGGCCTGTACCCCAGTTCTGTATTAATAAATAAATAAATCTTTAAAAAAAAATTATACCATTCAGGAACCTAAATTTCTCAAAAATCTTATTACTTATCAAAAAAAAACTGGGAAGATACACAAAAAAAGTCATTATTAGTATCCTTTCAATAGCAAAGTTAAGGTGATTTTTTAGTTCCTTTTTCTATCTTTTCCTCTGTCAAATATTCAAGAAAAACCATATATTGGGAATTGGGGTGAAGAGGAAGAGGGATTTAAAAAAGAAAATGGTGGCCCTCCCTGGTGGTGCAGCTGGTTAAAGCACAGCACTGAGAAGCTAAAGCCACTTCCGCATGAGTTCGATTCCTGCCTGCCCCGAGTGACCACATGGCGTGGCAGACCTCTCCTGACCCGATTGCTGCTCCCCTCAGCAGTGTACTTCGTAGATCTGCCTGTTCTGCTCCCCACTCTGTCTCTGGTGAAGCCTCTCACCACCCCTGAGCCTCTGGCCTGTACCCCAGTTCTGTGTGTACAAACAAAATAAATCTTAAAAAAAAAAAAGGTAAACAGTATGATATTGTCCAAGCTGTCTCAGTGATTTAAGGAAATAACTACCTATTATGATGGTCAAACTTATAATTCAATGTGCTCTTGAGAATGAAGAGGAAATAATTTTTCTCACAAACCACAAGCCGTGTGAAAATCACCACATCAAGACACCATTTATCCTGTAACATAAAACTCTCTTTTCCCCATATTCTAGAATCCAATATAAATCAGTACTTCAGCTCTTACAACAAGAAAATGTACCAAAGTTAATACTTTCAGTTCACATTCATTTCAACTCACTTGGCAGCTTTCCCTTTTGCTTATGTTTTCTTTTAAACATACCAACTCTCACCATTTATTGTAGTTCTTAAAGAAATTTAAAAATACAATCATCCTGCATTAGAAATCAAAAAATGAACTGCTACAGGAAAAAAGAAAATCTTATTCTTACAGAGGATGCTCTCTATTACAAAAGTTGGCCTGAGATGAAGCTACCTTTCCTCTTAAGCACCACTATTCCTGCTTCACAAATAGAACAAGGTTAAAAAAAAAAAAACAACTTGGGTTGTCCAAAGTTGTCAATACACAAGAACAGTCAAGAAAATAAATACCCAAGTTTTATTTTTCAGAATAAGCTCAAGAATCATAACCATTCTGGATAAAATATGTCTGTTTATAACAAATTACTGCTTACTAAATGTTTTATTTATTTCTGTACTGAGTGATACTTTAGCAAGCTACAGACATGGGGTGAAGAGATTTAATATATGGAAAACCAAATCTAAAATAGCTTCAAGAAGGAAAACTAAAATAGAAATGCTGTTTGATCATCACAAATAAATTATTTTTCATTATACACTAAACCAACACCTACACAAAACATTCAAATATTTATCCTTTGTGCGGATACAAGAAATCACACCTGCCAAATCACTGTTGCCCCTAACATGAAGTATAAATGTGGAATCTTCTTTCCTGAAGTAAAGTGATGATTATACCTCGCAGAAGTTTGCTTCAAGTCTAATTTATCTTATTCTCATGCCAAGCTAAATAGGATATTCTGCGTCAGAGGGAACTCAAATTCTCTTAAAACCTAACAAAACTAAATAATCCTATACAGTAAGTAGGAGAGCTGATGGCAAAAAAGTAAATAAAGGTTTGCTACTCCCTTAAAGTCACATTCCTGCCCTGCTCAGCTAAGTCCATTTTACCTGCCATGCAAGATTTTAAAACTTCCTCCTTGAACCGTGGGAACTGAGAAAGTCATACTCCAAAGCAATGTCTCAGCAAATAGCAAACTGAATTTATTCAAACTGAAAAATGCTGTACACAGTAAAACAGATTTTAAAAAAGACTTTCCAATAATGACAAAAAAAAACTCCAAATGATAATCCAGAACAGGCCAACAACTTCATTAAATAAGATCTCCAGGCTTGGAAGCAACAATGCCACCTAGAAATATAGTAATATCTTGTGCAAGCAAAATGTGCCATGGTTCAAACTCAGGAAGCAGGGGGCTTCATTCCACAGTTTCCAAAAGAAACTACATTTTGGTTTTGAATATTGAAGATATTAAACCATCTAAACAATGTTAAAAATGGGATATTTAGTCATAGCTCACTGATTTATGTATAGTAGAAATGGGAACTGCGATATGACAAAAAGTTTCAATGCTCCTAAGATAAACTCCCTTTTAAAAAGGCAAAACAAAAAATTAAAATGCCACAAGATCCAATTTACAAGCATTCAGAATCAAATATTTTAAGGCTGAGGGTTCTTACCCTTTTTTCCCCCATCAAAAGAATAAAAACAAAAACTCATTCATCAGTAATTGTCTTTTCAATTAAAAAAGCAAAAATTCTGCTATTTGTTAAAGTTAATATTTAGAATAAGATTTTCAGGCTGTCCATATGCTATGATGGTGAGCCCTGAAAACTGTTATAAGAGGATTAAGTTAGCGCCTCAAATCATATGTAAACTCAGCCAAAAACTGAGATGCCAAGAGAGCGCACTTCTTACATAATAAGCATTGGCACACGTTTTAAATATAGCTGGTCCTCCCCACTCCTACTCATCGCTAGCTAACTTTGCTTGTACCTGATTTCCACATAAACTACTAGCAGTTCTTCGCTTTCTCCTCTGGAAAACGGCAAAAACCTGTGTCCACTACGAATACAAGGGGCGTCTTTCAACTTACAGAGCCAGACGGAGGAAATAAAAACTGTTACCTCGGCCATTGGGTGCTCAGCCTGGCTCACGACTGCAGCACCGACAGACAGCTCAT